ATAAACACCTCTATGCAAATAAACTAGAAAATCTGGAAGAAATGGTTACATTCCTGGACATACACCCTGCCCAACACTAAACCAGGAAGAAGTCAAATCCCTGAACAGACCAATAACAAGTTCTGAAATTGAGGCAGTAATTAATAGCCTACCAATCAAAAAAAGTCCAGGACAAGATGGATTCACAGCCGAATTCTACCAGAGGTACCAAAAGGACCTGGTACCATTCCTTCTGAAACTATTCCTAACAATAGAAAAAGAGGGACTCCTCCCTAACTCATTTTATGAGGCCAGCAGCATCCTGGTACCAAAACCTGGCAGAGACACAACAAAAAAAGAAAATTTCAGGCCAGTATCCCTGATGAATATCGATGTGAAAATACTCAATAAAATACTGGCAAACTGAATCCAACAGCACATCAAAAAGCTTATCCACCATGATCAAGTCAGCTTCATCCCTGGAATGCAAGGATGATTCAACATGCAGAAATCAATACATGTAATCCATCACACAAACAGAACCGATGACAAAAACCACATGATTATCTCAACAGAAGCAGAAAAGGCCTTTGATAAAATTCAACACCCCTTTATGCTAAAAACTCTCAATAAACTAGGTAACGATGGAATGCATCTCAAAATAATAAGAGCTGTTTATGACAAACCCACAGCCAATATCATACTGGATGGGCAAAAGCTGGAAACATTCCCTTTGAAAACCGGCACAAGACAAGGATGCCCTCTCTTACCACTCCTATTCAACATAGTATTGGAAGTTCTGGCCAGGGCAATTAGGCGAGAGAAAGAAATAAAGGGTATTCAAATAGGAAGAGAGGAAGTCAAATTGTCTCTGTTTGCATATGACGTGATTGCATATTTAGAAAACCCCATCATCTCAGCCCAAAATCTCCTTAAGCTGATAAGCAACTTCAGCAAAGTCTCAGGATACAAAATCAATGTGCAAAAATCACAAGCATCCCTGTACAACAATAACAGACAAACAGAGAACCAAATCATGAGTGAACTTCCATTCACATTTGCTACTAAGAGAATAAAATACCTAGGAATACAACTTACAAGGGATGTGAAGGACCTCCTCAAGGAGAACTACAAACCACTGCTCAGGACACAAACAAGTGGAAGAACATTCCATTCCATGCTCATGGATAGGAAGAATCAATATCTTGAAAATGTCCATACTGCCCAAAGTAATTTAGAGATTCATTGTTATCCCCATCAGGCTACCATTGACTTTCTTCACAAAATTAGAAAAACCTAACTTTAAACTTTATGTGGAACCAGAAAAGAGCCTGTGTAGCCAAGACAATCCTAACCAAAAAGAACAAAGCTGAAGGCATCACGCTACCTGACTTCAAACTATACTACAAGACTATAGTAACCAAAACAGCATGGTACTGATACCAAAACAGATATATGGACCAAAGGAACAGAACAAAGGCCTCAGAAATAACACCACACATCTGCAACCATCTGATCTTTGACAAACCTGACGAAAACAAGCAATGGGGAAAGGATTCTCTATTTAATAAATGGTGTTGGGAAAAATGGATAGCCATATGCAGAAAACTGAAACTGGACCCCTTCCTTACACCTCATATAAAAATTAACTCATGATGGATTAAAGACATACACCTAAAACCTAAAACTGTAAAAACCCTAGAAAGAAACCTAGGCAATACCATTCAGGACATAGGCATGGGCAAAGACTTCGTGACTAGAACACCAAAAGCAATGGCAACAAAAGCCAAAATTGACAAATGAGATATAATTAAATTAAAGGGCTTCTGCACAGCAAAAGAAACTATCATCAGAGTGAACAGGCAACCTACAAAATGGGAGAAAATTTTTGCAATCTATCCATCTGACAAAGGGCTAATACCCAGAATCTATAAGGAACTTAAACAGATTTACAAGAAAGAAGTCAACAACCCCATCAAAACATGGGTGAAGGATTTGAACAGACACTTTTCAAAATAAGACATTTATGCAGCCAACAACCATATGAAAAAAAGCTCATCATCACTGGTCATTAGAGAAATGCATATCAAAACCACAATGAGATACCATCTCCCACCAGTTAGAATGGCGATCATTAAAAAGTCAGGAAACAACAGATGCTGGAGAGGATGTGAAGAAATAGGAATGCTTTTACACTATTGGTGGGAGTGTAAATTAGTTCAACCATTGTGGAAGACAGTCTGTCGATTCCCCAAGGATTTAGAACTAGAAATACCTTTGGACCCAGCAATCCCGCTACTGGGTATATACCCAAAGGATTATAAATCATGCTACTATAAAGACACATGCACACGTGTGTTTATTGTGGCAATGTTCACAATAGCAAAGACTTGGAACCAACCCAAATTCCCCTCAATGATAGACTGGATAAAGAAAATGTGGCACATATACACCATGGAATACTATGCAGCCATAAAAAAGGGTGAGCTCATGTCCTTTGCAGGACCATGGATAAAGCTGGAAACCATCATTCTCAGCAAACTAACACAAGAACAGAAAACCAAATGCCACATATTCTCACTCATAGGTGGAAATTGAACAATGAGAACATATGGACACAGGGAGGAGAATATCACACACCAGGGCCTGTCAGGGGGTGGGGGGCTAAGGGAGGGATAACATTAGGAGAAATACCTAATGTAGATGATGGGTTGATGGGTGCAGGAAACCAGCATGGCACGCATATACCTATGTAACAAACCTGCACATTCTGCACATGTATCCCAGAACTTAAAGTATAATTTTAAAAATGTAATAATGAACAGATTGGCTTTTTTTGTTTTGTTTTGTTTTGTTTTTGAGACGGAGGCTTGCTCTGTCGCCCAGGCTGGAGTCCAGTGGCGCAATTTTGGCTCACTGCAAGCTCCACCTCCCAGGTTCACACCATTCTCCTAATGAACAGATTGTTTTTAGAGTATTTGATTTTGAGTTTAATATTTTCTTAAAACAACAAAACAAACATATTAGTTTGGGCTTTACATCAGTCAAGTAGTAATTGTCATTTTAGAAAAGATAACCATCTAAATGTTTGGCATACTTTAGATAATTATATGATGAAGATCTCTATACTTCATTTAAACAAAATTATAGTTTAGTCAATATTTTTAAATTGTTTATTATTTTTAAAAGTTTCATCACTATATTTAACAACTTTGCCATAGTATTCAGGCATTATACTGTCATTGGTATTAGTCAGGTTCAATGATTTTATTCATTTCAAATTGAACTTGGTGTTATAAGTTTTGTTATAGCTATTACCTTCTTTTAGCTTTATAAGTTCTTCAGGTCATTATTTATATAAATTTTATCTGGCTTGTAAGATAAAACCTCATAAAACATAAATTTTGAAAAATATTTTTTAAAAATTTGTGAAACACTTACCCATTAGCTCCACATTAAAATTTATTTTCTCCCAAACTTACACTACGTCTTGAATTATTCAGACAAGCAAAGATAAGTAATGAGTCTGAAGAATGTGCTTTGGTTTTTACCTTTAAAACTTGGACAGTGATTTGGAAGTGCCCCTTAGTACAACTCCTTTTCTAAATAAAATTCTGCTCCATTTGCAACTCTGAACATGTAAATTGAAGGGGTGGCTCCCTTGGCCAGTGCCTGACCTCTGTGCACACCTTGGTCTGGCGTGACCTCGCCCACACTGCACACTGCAGCCATATAAATCAGATTTTTGACATGTTATAAAATGCAAGTCACAGCTGCTGTTGTCTGCAGTATTCAAAAACTTTTGAAACACTGCATGTCCAACAAAATTTATTTTGTGTGTGAATGTAAGTTTTTATTGAGGGTAAGTCCTATTTGTTTGGAAAAAAGAAACAGTATGAGTCAGTGATTTTTAAAAATCAAATAGATTTAATGTTCTCCTTCCTGCCTCTTCTTGCTCGTGTGTGTTCTCTCTCGATTGCTTGCTCGCTCTCTCTGCCTCTCTGCTTGTCTAAGAAAAGAGCTGTTGGCTTTGAGAGAAGACCTTGATATTACAACTGTGTTAGTAGATTGAGATTTCTGTTAGAGTCTTTCTGTTTAGGTCAGAAGTGTTCTTTATAGAACAGAATTGGGAGCTTGTAATCATAATGTAAGTATAAATGCTTCACCTCTTCAGATATATGTTTGAATTCTTTTGTTTCTGTTATAGCAGGAAACTTCATATGTAAGAGTGTCTTATTAGCTACATTGCTTTGCCAGATGCCAGACATTTTTTGTGTTTCTGTGGTTAACATTTTCTTTTTTTTAATTTAATTTTAAGTTCCGGGATACATGTGCAGGACGTTCAGGTTTGTTACATAGTGTGTTTATTACATGTGTGCCATGGTGGTTTGCTGCACCTATCAGCCCTGGACATTTTTTAAAAGAAAGGTTCGCATGGATTGATAAATGTAATGTGCAATCTATGGTAAACTTAAAAGTGCTTTTATAAAGGTTTTAAAGGTTCTATAAAAGTGCAAAAACTTGAAATGCAATTGAAGATTTTTCTGTAGTACATTTTGGCTATTTTCAGTAAATTGAAAAAGTGGAAGTTACAGATTCGACTTAAGAGTCAGATTGTAAATAAGCTTTATGAAAAAGCAGAAAGTCAATTCAGTTCATTCAGTTTTACTTACTGTCTCATATCGTTCATGTAAAATTCCATGTAGTACTCTACTATGTTAATAATGTTTACTAAAAATAAGCCTTATTAGACTTTTCTGCAGAGAGATATTTAAGATTAAATTACATTATTTAGGCAATGATTTATATTAAGTATGTTATTGATCTTTTAGTTTTGTTCATATTTTTTATTGAAATGTAATAGGTATCTAAAAATGCCGTAACTAAAATTTGTCCCTAGTATATAAGTGCCTTTATTATTTTCAACATTTAAGAATATTGCTGTTAGAATATTTGACATTTTGTAATGCCCTTAAAAGAAGACCATTTTCCCTAAATTATTATTTTTTAAAATGTTTTAGGTACTGTTTTTCAACCCTAATCTCTTGACCAAGAATGAAACTATTTACAAATTAAGATGCCAACAGGTAATTTCTTATACATTTATATGTTTTTGTCAATATGTTTCCATAGCAATAGAACAACGATCAAAAATGTATATTAACACAAGGCTGTATTATTCCCTTCCAACATCATTGGAAGAGATGTGAATATGAAATTAATATTTCAAATATGAAATATTTGGTTTTGAGAGACCTTCCTTTATGACATAAAACTATTTTATTTTAGACATATATGTTTTATTGGTTTTATAACCTGATACATTCTAGCTTGTTCTATATCTGAAATCAGCTCAAATAGTAAAGGAAATAGAAGTCAGAATAAAAGTAGATTCAGAAATAGTGATTCAGGTTTAGATGAGTTTTCTTTATTGATAAAATAAATGCCAAGTGTTGAGATATGTATGACTATAATCTGATTAAAACAAGGACACTAATTTTAGCTGTGATAAAGTTACTTTCCACCCTCAGTGGAAAACCATATATGATGACTCCTTTGATTCTGATATAATGTTAATTTTATTTTTTAGCCAAATTATTCCTGAAAAATTTTATAATCTTGTTGAAAGTTGTTTGATTAGGAAGAAGCATGGCATTGTGTAAAAAAAAAAAAATCTCAAAGAATTCATTTTGGTTGATTTTACTTTCTTTTTCACCAGTTCTCTGTAGTTCTGATTTCCTCTTTTCATTTTTATACTCTTTGGGCTATAATGTGATGCTGAAACAGGATTTTCTCAATTCTAAAGTAAAACAAAAGTTTTAAAATTTGAAAATCTGATTGTGGAGATATCTGACTCATAGCAATTATATCTTAGCAAGCATTGATATCTTAGTGGCACATAAATGCTAGATAATTTTTAAAATTAATATACTAATTTTAATGTCAAGTTGGAGTCCCAATGGGAGTAATGCCATTTTCTTATTCCCAATGGATGATTCTGGGTCATTTCCTAGACAGAAACAATTAAGAACTAACAACGTACAATATTAAAGCAATATAATTTCCCCTTTAAGGCTGAAAGATAAAATATTCACCAATTTTCTCTTCATAAATTACTAGTATAATGACTCAATGAATCCTTCTGTTATTCTAATTTTTTCTATACAATGGTTTTGGTGGCCAGGGATTTTTTATAAAAGGTCTTGGGGGTGAGGCTGGACGGAAGCAGAGGTACCAAGGGAGAAAGGGAAGGCAGAGAGATAAAGACAGATAAAGGAAAGGTCAAAGATAAAGAAAGAAGATGAGGCTGAAGAAAGAGGAAAGAGAGACAAGAAGCAAGAGAGAAGTAGAGGCTTATTTTCTTAGTATTCTAAAAGATTTGGCTGTATATCAAGCTATGACTTAGCTTTTTAATTTTTCTTTGTAACTTTAGATATGTCTTTATAGTTAGTAGCTATTACCTAAAATCACCTTGCAAATCAACACCTTATAAGATTATTTTTGGTTTCTGACATTTAGATTGTCATGTAGGAACATTTAAAGTTAACTTTGGAAATAAAAAATTAATTATCTAAATCCTTTCCCAGACGCAATTTCAGATATTAATGTATTTGAGACCTAATAGGAAAAACAAGAATCTAAATAAATTCTTGGGACAGGGAAACTCTAGGTAATACTGCCAAATCTCTGTAGTAAATGAGAAAGGCCCTGTTTGTTCTAAGATCCTAATCACCTCCTTTTAATCTAACTAATATAGGCATTCCTTATTTCTGTTATTTAGTGTCTAAACCCATTATAGTTAATGGCCATATCTTTAGGACATAATTTTTCTCTCAAAGACATAGAAGTCCCAGTTTGTCAAATAAGGAATAGAATTAAGTCTTTCATTTTGAGAAAAAAAAATTATTCATTCTGATTTTCAGAATTGCTACTTCAGTTTAAGATAGTTATTCCTATTCCTTGTTGCATTAGGAAAACTTTAATTTGCTTTTCTCTATTTTATATATGTATGTGTTTTAGATCACGAAGAGCCCTGTGGTCCCAGTCACAAGTCATTTTGCCTGAATGGGGGGCTTTGTTATGTGATACCTACTATTCCCAGCCCATTTTGTAGGTGAGTTAAATGGACTAAGGGAAGATGTTAACTTTATTTTTTTATTGTCTACTAACTTCTTTGAGAAGTGATAAAAAGTAAACAAAAAGTGTAAGATGAAAAGGTATGAGGCATATTCTTCGTATTTATGTAGGGAAAATTTATCCTTTTAAAACAAAACAAAAACAAATAGCACAATAAAAATCTCACTAATCAAGGTGTTTATTTTGAAAATTGGTAATGGTAGTTCCTAGCCTAGACATATTTTTAAAAAATAATCCCTTTTAGTGAACTCTTTGATTTTAGCAATTTAAGGAAGGCAGTCTGTGCTTAATATTCCTGGCAAAATAGCTAGGGAATTTGCTAATCAAAAAACCTAATATGAGATATTTTATTTTGAGTTTTTAATACATAAGCACATGATAACAGAGTTGGCACCAAAACTTACACTTTATATGTTAAAAAGCAAAAGAAGCATTGTTTTTCTAATAGTGGTAGCAAATAAAAAAGAATGGTATCTTAGCCACTATTGTTTTAAAATAATATAATTCACTGCGGGAGTACAGATACAGCCAGTGACCCATAAAAAACTTCAAAATAGTACTTCTGTAGCCTGATTCCTATGAGTTGGTTGAATAGGATTTAAGTGTGTAATAATAAACCTCTTTTTAGTATATGAGTTAACATCGTAGTACTGCCGTATACTGTGGAGCTAACACTTAAGATCTAAAGATATTTTGTAACACATGTGAATTACTCTTTTTTGTTCTTTAACCAAACTGAGAAGTATAGAATCTAGATTTAAGATCTTACTGTACATAAAAGGACAGAAAAGTAAAATTCATAGGAAAAGTTGAAGATACTGGGATGTAGTATGGAGGAGAGGAGACAAAAAGAAATAACCTCACAACTATCTCAAGATTTTAGGGCTTTTCACATGGGGAATAGTGCCCCGGTGTTTTTCTTCTCTAGTGAATATGTAAAGGGAAGGGAATGGAGGAACAAATTAACAATTACTTAACACTCATGATGTACCTCAGGAGTATACTCTTTTGGTTTTTTAATCTGTTTTCTGAGATATAATTTATGTATAATGAACTACATTCATTTACAGTGTGCAATGGATTAATTTTGACAAATGTTTGTACCTGTGAAATCACCACCACTATCACATCTAGATATAGAACATTTCCATAGATAGTCCCCCCCAAATTTTGTTGCTGACTCTGCTCAACACTTAATTCTCACAAACATCTTAGAGAAAGGAGGCAGGGGAGACCTTAGAAAATAATACAAAAAAAAAAAAAAGAGGAGAAAATGAGAAATTAAGTGACATGCCAAAGGTCATATAGCTGGGAAGAAGAAAGATGTCACCTTTGAATACAACTCCCAAGTTTCACTTAACTTTATAATATGTTCATTCTGGATTCTTTCTAAGGTGATATGGCATGTAGCGTGTATAAAATAAAACAAGAATGCTTATCAGAAGAAGTGCATTTAGATCAGGCATGGTGGCTCACACCTGTAATCCCAGCACTTTGGGAGGCCGAGGCGGGCGGATCACAGGGTCAAGAGACCGAGACCATCCTGTCTAACATGGTGAAACCCCATCTCTATTAAAAGTACAAAAAATTAGCCAGGCGTAGTGGCACACGCCTATAGTCCCAGCTACTCAGGAGGCTGAGGCAGGAGAATGGCGTGAACCCAGGAGGCAGAGCTTGCAGTGAGCCAAGATTGCGCCACTACACTCCAGGCTGGGCGACAGAGTGAGACTCCATCTCAAAAAAAAAAAAAGAAGTGCATTTAATAATTTTTAAATACTAATATTTTGTGTCTTGATCTTGATGATGGCTACATGGGTATAAAGACTATTCTTTCTCCATTGGATTGCCTTTGCCCCTTTGTCAAAAATCACTTGATCATTTATGTGCAGGTCTATTTCTGGACTATTCTTTTCTGTTGATCTATGTGTCCTGTCTTTTCACCAATACCAGTCTTGATAAACGTAGCTTTATAATGAGCAAAATCAGGTAGCATGATTCCTTAACTTTGTTCTTTGGCTCAATGACCTTTAGCCATATTTTCTAATAGACTGTATTTAATGTTAAAATTTTCAAATACATTTCTGTTTTACCCTAAAAATTTTATAGTTTGTTGTTCAGTTTTAGGTTTAAACATTTTTTCATTATGATTTCTTCTGTAACCTATAGGGTGTTTTCCTATGCTTTTGTATTTGTACCTGATTTAATGGCATTGTGGGCAGAGTGCTTGGTCCATCAAGCTATGCACTTAATGTCTATCTGTATACTAGCTATCTGTTATACCTCACTGAATAAGTTGACAGAAAGAACTAAGAATGCTGGAATTTGGAGATTCATTAAAATGGAAAGAAACCTAGGTTGTCATCCTGCTTTTGTACCTTGGATAGATGCATTTTTAGTGTATTTTCAAAAAGTTACCAATGATAGAGAATGGCCAAGTTTGCTGGCAACCCACAGCGGGTGTAAAAATGTATATAGTTTCTTCCTAATATCAGAATGTAAGAGTAGTAATTACGGAGTAGTTGAAACCATGCCACATGGGTTCATGATGGATAGAGAATGAAGCAAGGTCACCACATTGCACAACAGCAGGAGATTCTGTGTCTTGGCACCCTCTTTGTAATGTGAATGATGTATTCTGGAGTTGCTAAACACCCTGGAAGGAAGTGAAGTAGGGGAGTGGGGTAGGGAACGAAAGGGCGGCTGAGAGAAAAGGAAAAAAATATAGTGCCTGAAGGCTGAGTGACATTGAATGGCAGATGTATTTTAATTCATATTTTATAAAAATAACTGCTTTCCAATTATCTTAGGAGCACATTTCTAATGTAGCCCTATAGGCTGTAATAGCAATAGCTAAGAGTGATAAACTCATTTTCCATCCCACTTCATACTGTTTTCTGCATTTCCTGTTTCTATTATGACATCTCAACCATCTTGTCACTGAGAAACCCCAGACTTATATTTGACTCTGTCATTGCCCTCTTGTCCAGTTGTCAAATCATATTTCTACCTTTGCTGTATCTCTCATCTCTCTAGTCCTTTCTGTTCTTACTATTATTATACTAGCTCAGAGTTTCTTAATTCCTTGCTTTGTCTATAGAAATAGTTCCTAACCAATTTTCCCAGAGCCTAATTATCATCATCTGTCCAGCTAAAACAAAAAAACTCTTCAGTGACAGCCCTCACACCTACCCATCTACCACTCATGAAGTAATACCTCACTTTTTAGCCTAGCTCTTTCAGCCTTCTACCATTTGGCCCTCAAACTACCTTTGTGGCCATTTCTTCCTTGGTCTGCATTCTAACTAGAACCATTCACTATTTACATTAGATATACTTTGTGTTATGTTGCCTGCCAACCCCTCCTCTTTCTCCTCCTCCTCAGTCTACTCCACATGAAAATGAAAATGAAAAGGATGAAGACCTTTATGATGATCTACTTCCACTTAATGAATAGTAAGAGGTATATTTTCTCTTCATTACAATTTTCTTTTCTTTCTTTCATGTTTTGTTTTTGTTTTTGTTTTGAGACGGAGTCTCACTGGCTGGAGTGCAGTAGTGCGATGTAACCTCCGCCTCCCAGGTTCAAGCGATTCTCCTGCCTCTCAGCCTCCTGAGTAACTGAGATTACAGGTGTGTGCCACCACACCCAGCTAAATTTTGTGTTTTTAGTAGAGGCGGGGTTTCGCCATTTTAGCCAGGCTAGTCTTGAACTCCTGACCTCAGGTGATCCACCCACCTTGGCTTCCCAAAATGCCGAGATTACAGGTGTGAACCACTGCACCTGGCCCTTTTTTTTTTTTTTTTTTTTTTTTTTTTTAAGAGACAGGGTCTTGCTCTGTTGCCCAGGCCGAAGTGCAGTGGCTTGATCATAGTTCACAGCAACCTCAAACTCCTGAGCTCAAGTGATCCTCCTGCCTCAGCCTCCCAAGAAGCAGGGACTACAGGCACACGCCACTGCACTTGGTAATTTATTTTTTGTGGAGGATGGGGTTTTGCTGTGTTGACTAGGCTGGTCTCAAACTCCTAGCATTAAACTCCTGGCCTTAAGTGATCCTCCCACCTCAGCTTCCCAAGGTGCTGGGATTACAGGTATGAGCCACTTCATCCAGCCCCCTTACAAGTTTCTTAATAACATTTTCTTTTCTCTAGCTTGCTTTATTGTAAGACTATAGTATGTAATACATATAACATATAAAATATGTGTTAATCGACTGTTTATGTTATTAGTAAGGCTTCCAGTCAACAGAAGGCTATTAGTAGTTAAGTTTTGAGGGAGTCAAAAGTTGTATGTGGATTTTTGACTGCATGGGGGTTGGTGCCCCAACCACTATATCATTCAAGGGTCAACTGTATTTGTGCCTTAAGATCTAAAATGCTTCTAGTCAGCACATAGTTGCATCGTGTTTTCGTCCATTTTTCTAATCTCTGTCTTTCATTAGATAATTTAATCTATTTACATTTAAAGTAATTACTGATAAGAAGGGGCTTTTGTAATTTTGTTATTTATTTTCTATATGCCTTATCACTTTTTTGTTTTTCATTATCTATATTACTGTCTTTTGTGTTTAATTGATTTATTCGCAGTAAAACTTTTTTTTCTTTTCTTTTCTTTTTTTTTTTGAGACGGAGTTTTGCTCTTGTTGCCCAGGCTGGAGTGCAATGACGCTATCTCGGCTCACCGCAACCTCTGCCTCCCGGATTCAAGCGATGATTCTCCTGCCTCAGCCTCCCGAGTAGCTGGGATTACAGGCACGGCCACCATGCCTGGCTAATTTTGTATTTTTAGTAGAGACAAGATTTCTCCATGTTGGTCAGGCTGTTCTCGAACTCCTGACCTCAGGTGATTTGCCTGCCTCAGCACCCCAAAGTGCTGGGATTACAGATGTGAGCCACTGCACCCAGCCTGTAGTAAAATGTTTAAATTCCTTTTTCATTTCCTTTTGTGTATATTCTATAACTATTTTCTTTGCATTTACC